TTTTTTTTTTTTTTATGTTTTTAAATGCAAAACGGGCGCCATACACCGTTTTACGTATTGCTAGTCGGTCCTGCAACCGTCACACCAGCCCACATACATCGTTAGTGGGATCTCCCTCCAGGCCCCTGGTCACCTGTGGATATATCTAAAGACTGCCGCCCTTTAAAAAAAAAATAAAAAAAAAAATAGGGGGAACCGGTAGCACAGGACCACAGGTCCATGAGGGCTATCGGTAGTACAGTGGCGGGAGCTGGCAGAGTGGCAAAATTCAAAATTTGCATTGAATTACCCCCGCGATTTATTTCACAGTTGAAATGATTTTTCTTATTTGTTTTAATATTTTTCATGTAAAGATCACGACCAAATCTATAGACCCTCAAAGTTTCAGGGTTGTTGGGTCATCCTTCAGATTGCAAAAAATCGCGAAAGTTGGGTTTCTTGTCCCATTGGCCCATACGTGGTAGAGTTGCAAAAATAGAAAATGTGACAAAACAGTGCGGCATTTACTTCACCGTTAAATTTGATTTTTTTATTTTTCTGATATTTTTCCTGGAAAGATCACGGCCTAATCTACATGATATCAAATTTTCAGATTTGTTTGCCAATTTTTCTGAGTGTGAAAAATCGTCAAACTTCACGCTTGAAAATGCTTGGCCCGAACCCGCCTGCGCGACGTTAGGGTTCGGACACACAGCCACATCCTGACGTGCCAGCAGGCTGACGTCGGATACACTTCAAAAGACAGCAGTCCCCAAAAACAGACAGGGACCCAGTCCACCATAGTGGTTATAGCATCGGGCAATTGGGTATTTCGAAATCTGTGCGTGGGTTCAAACCCCAACCCAACCATTGTGCACAGACTTCAAATACTGTATATACTAATACTAATATATGTATATATACTAATACTAACATGTGTGTGTGTGTGTGTGTGTGTGGGTGGGTGTGTGTGGGTGCGGCTGGTTGGGTGGGGGTTGGTGCGTAGCTGCCGCCGGCCGGGCCTCCTTGCTTTTGTCGTTGCCAACTTAAAAGAAGGGGCAACACGACAGCCGAATTCGAAAAAAAGGAAAAATAAAAAAAAGGCAGGTCAGACGACAGAAGAATACGACAGGAAAAGCGAAATCAAAGAAATGCGACGGAAAAGGGGGGAACACGACAGAAGAATACGACAGGAAAAGCGAAATCAGATAAATGCGACGGAAAAGGGGCGAACACGACATAAGATTGCAACGGAATAACAAAGAAAAAAGAAAATAAAAAGAAAACCAACCGACGACGGAAAAAGGAAAAAGAAAAGAAAAAAAAAAAGAACTGAAAATAAATTAACAAAAAAAAGGGGGACGACTATCCGACGGCGGACGCTTCGAGATATTCCCTCGCATCAACGCCCTCCGCCGCTTGGCCTGATGGACGCGCTCACTCGTTTTTTGGCGCGCTGTAAACAATTCGGTACACGCGCCACTCTGCACACCGCCCCTCTCTGGATCGCCTTCATCCGCTGACCCGAATCAAAATTTCGGCCCGATTCCGGCACGAAGCGAACACAGCCTCCCCTCGCGGGCCGCTCGCGCTTAAGGGGTAATATATATATATATATATATATATATATATATATATATATATATATATATATATAATTTTTTTTTTTTCAAGTTGCGGGTTTACACCCCCCCCCACCATGTCGGACTTGGATCCATATCTTGCTTCACCACATACAAAACCTGCACCACAAGCGCTATGAAATGCACATGAACATTTTTTTTCTTCTTAGAAATAGTTAAAAATATCCATTCATTTTTGGCGTTGTAGCTATAGCCTTAAAAGCTGTAATGCCCGCTCCCTCCCTTTTGTCGTTGCGCCCAGGGCTATAAAAACCGCACAAATGACGACTAAAAAAACCAAAAAA